TCAAGTTACGAGTGGCATCCAGAATGCCAACAGTTGAGTTGTAGGTATGCTTTGATATTGTGACATCGGGGCAGAGGATTTCTTGGATATGGACATTTATATGTATTTGGAGTTGTACTTATTATTTTAAAAATAATTTGTAAACTCTTATGTTGTATTTCCCAATTCTTATTTTCAATTATTTTGGATATTGAAGAACATCTATGAAGGTTTTTATGTGAACCCTTTTACCAACATTGAAAATTTTATTTTTTTAGTTTATTTAAATTATTACAATATATTTGTTGGGGTAATAAGGGTATCACAACATGCCTAAAAGTGGTAGGTTGAAACAATTATAGAGCATCAGTTAAGTTTAATGTGATATTTTTAACTAATAGGAACATCGATAATAGATTTCATGCGATATTATTTAATAGAGTACTTAACAAAATTTGAGTAAGAAGACTAAAATAAAATTTTGTAAAATTATAATAACTACAAAGATTGATTTTAAATTTGAGGGACTAAAAATAAATTTATCTTAAATTTAAAAAATAAAAACATATTTAAAATATGAATATCTTAAATCATTAAAATATTGATACGAAAAAAATAAATTACTGATAATTATTAAAGGAATAACATCTTCCAACAATATATATTTTCTAACATATTTGGATAAACAGTGACCACGTGCCAAAACAAGATTAAAATATTTTTGACACCATACTCTTATTACCAAATTACGTGAAGGAATTTCATGACTTCATTCACGGTTGGACAAAAGTTGATAAATTTGTTCGCTCAAAAGATTATACTCAAAATTAAAACTTATAAAATATCTTTTAAGTTTTATTTTTTTCTCAAGCATAATTTTTATTAATTATTTGAACAGCTATGTACGTTTCTTTAATTTTATATTTTAAATTTTACTTAAATTGGAAGAAAAAAAAATACATGTAAACTGAACAGAAAATTTCCAATTAAATAAAATATAAATAATCAAGAATAGCAATGCTATAAGAATAAAAATACGGTGAACTCAATGAATTAAAGAAAATTTGTAGTGAGAGATAAAAAATGGGAGCAAACAAAAAAGGAATGAAAGTATATTGTATTTCTTTGTTTTGTTGTATAGAGGCAGAGAACCTTATTATTTATACATACAATGCTAACTAATTTCATTCTTAAATTTGTGGTCTAATTATGATAGAAATATGTTACATTTAATATTTGATTCTATCATATTGGGATTGTCTCATTTACGGGATTGCTGCCACATTTACAGATATACTGCACCATTTAACGTTATGAATCAATTAAGGATTTCTTATCCTTTAACTATTAGATCTTTTCAAAGGGTACATACTTCCTTTCTAGTTTTTAATTAAATATTAACTTTTTTTATTTAATTGTCTTAGTGACACATACAATTTCTTATATAAGATAACACTATTTATGCACTATTAAGAGAATAAATTTTTAATACAAGTCTCAATAATTGAATGAGACTTGATCTCTCACTCATTTTTAATTCTCAAATTATATCTAAAATTTCATGCATGTTCTGATTTAAAAAATATATTAACTTCAAGAAATAATTCACAAGAACAGATTGAGAAAATACTATATTCAAAATTGAAGAAGAATGACAATTTTCATAAACAAGACAAAACATTATACTTAATTAAGAAAGGAGTGATAGATGCTTATATGATTGACAAAATATGAGTTTTTTTATTTTCTTTTTTCTTTTTCTCTTGCTTTAACTAATAGTTATTCTAAGGAAGATGAATAATTTTTAAAAACTAGAAAAAGGTGTAGTATTCTTTACTCACCTCGACAACTTGATGAAACCTGTAAATGCCTTTGATCATGAATCCTTATCTTTTGCTTCCATAAATTGTTGTAAACCTGAATTATATTACACCAATAAAAGACATTGTCATTTTAATCAACTCCAGTTAAATTTTAAGATAATTTTGACAAAATAATAACAACTGAAACAACATAAATATAAACAATGTCATTTTGGTAAAGCAAAAGATTGTCTATAGTAGGGAAATAATATTAGTAGAAGAAAGAAACCAATCTACAAAATTTGAATCACTTCTACTGGAAGATCAAAATATAAGAGAGAAAAAATTAGATTACTTTACCTAAATATTTACCATATATTTGAATCATATAATACTTCCAACACCATATTTACCATATATTTTAATCATATAATACTTCTAACACCATCCCACTTAATAATTATCTTTTTCAAAGTTTAACACAGTTTGTAATTTGACTAAGATTTTAATTGTTATAAATAAATTTAACTTTTTAAGTTCAATAAAAATAAAAATTATTTTGGTAACATTTGTATATTTTGAAGACAATTAATATATCTAACTATCTGAGTTTAATAATTATAACTATACACTAATAATAATTATACTCTTAAGGGTCAATAACAAGCCAAACTAAAATTTCTAAACACCTCTAACAAGCTAAGCTCCCTAACAATCAAAGTGGATACTTGAAGGAATTTTCTACTCAAAGCATCAGCCATTACATGGGCTTTACTGGGGTGGTAACTTTGCTCAAAGTCATAATCTTTAAGAAATTCTAATCATCTCTTTTGTCTCATATTAATCTTCTTTTGTTCAAATAGATTTTTAAGGCTTTTATGGTCACTAAACACCTCAAACTAGAACCATACAAGTAATGTCTCCACAACTTCAACACAAATACAATAGCTAACTCTAGTTCATGAGTAGGGTAGTTCTGCTTGTGAACTTTCAAAATGAATAAGCTACTACCTCCCTTTTTTGCATAAGCACTCCTCCTAAACTCATCTTAGAAGCATTGTAATGTAAGGTCTCATTAGGGTTAAGTAACACTAGGACAGTTGCACTAGTCAACCTATATTCTTAAATATACTTACGTTGCAAGTTATGGGGGTGGTTTACTCAACAGGTGTTGAGGGTTACTTAGTAGTTGGCCAAAGGTGACTACACAATTAGTAGATGGCTAGTTTGTGTAGGGGAAATCTAATAGAGAAGTCCCATAGTGTGTGTGGGGGGACTAGATATAACCCAAGGTTGGGTGAACCAAGATAAACCAGTGTAAAATCTCTCTTACCCTTACTCTCATATTTGTTTAAATTACTTTAAGTTACTCATATTTTTTGGTACATGATTGTGGCATATCATACTAAGTTTTCAAACAAGTAAAAAGTATTTTCAAATACCTTAGAAGCACAAACTTTTGAGAAGTTATTTAATAAAGAAACTGCTTAAAAGCAAAATTAGTCTTTTAGAACCATTAGAAACATCAACTTTTGATCATCAGAATTTCATAAAGACTTAAAACTTTAAGAAATCCACAACTCAACTTCCATTTTTGTTGGCTAACATTTAATTCATGCCTCACTTTCTTTTTGTGTGTTTTTAAAGAATCTAAATCTTTATGGGTGGATTTGACGCGTGATTATAGAACCTCTCGTCAACATTTCCACAATAATGTTTTTTGTGATTGTTAAAGGGAATGTTTTGTAATTTGGGTATATGGTAATTCCTTCTCATAATTGTTGTAGCAACACTTTTCTTGTTTACATAGAACAAGATCTTTCCTCTTGGTTTAAAAGTTCTCATTGAATTCTTTGTAAATAAGCATTATAACTTGTGAGTTATTAGATGTGGGAAAAAATTTTGCTTGTCCTCAAATTAGACAATAGAATGGAAGTTCTCAAGTGTAAAATTAAAATCTTTTAATATATAGATCAAGTTTACAATTTTTTATAAAATTTGAAAATTATTTGATATTTCATTTATATCACACTTTTATGAACTATTCTAGGCCATTGAAGTTGTGTTGTGACAACTTTATTGCATTATTTATGGTTAAGAACAACAAGAGTTGAAGTCGAAGTATATCAACATCAAATATTTAGCCATAAGATAATGTGTTAAAGAAAGAAAAAAAAAAGGTCGTCATTGAACACATTAGCATTAATTTGGCGATTGTTGATCCTTTTAACTAAAGACATGTTACCAAAGAATTTTAAGGGTCAATGAGTCATGTAGCATGAATATGACTTGATTCCATGATGTGACATTCTTATAAATACATTTATTATTTTGATGAAACTCTTATTTAGTTTGATGTTTTTGAGAAATATCATTTACTTTTGACATAAAATAAACATATGATTTATTCAGTAAGTTAACGAACTAATTTAAGAGACGATATATTGTGATACATGAAAAATAATACTTACTTTTAAAGAACCTGTCACCATGATTCATATATTTTATTTCTTGTTATGCTAAATAATGGGTTAAATAGATCAAATGAGAGCACTTGGTACAATTTGTAAATCCCAGTGACTCTGTATAATGAGTGAAGAAGCTAACCTTTTTAGTCTCCTTAATTGGCCTTTTAAGCCTCAATCACCACTTTGGCTCGAGGCTGGAAGGTTGCATTCCCTCCTAGTTTTAGGTCAAGCCATATAATATTAAATTGACTTATCATTGAATATTAGAACTATTTTGTAACGCATCTTAAACCTCATCCCGTGATTGAGCACATTAACTTTTTTAAAAGATTTGACAATTAACAAGATAAAATAAATGACAACAAAATATCCCGTTAATAAGAATAACCATGCATGACTTGACAATTAACAAGAGAGATGATAACAAAATATCTCCCTAATGTGGATAACCATCCACTAATTTTTAGCTTAAATTCTCCTCAAATATAAATTAGGAAGACTCATTTTTGAATCATCCAATCATCAAAAATACCATCTTTTAAAAATCTTGTGTCCAGAACAAAATCCACAAGATATTTTTCTTAACACTCAGCTTTCTCTCTACCAAATGGAAGAAAACCTCATTTTCTCCTTATTCTTCTACTCAATTTTCCCCTCCCCTTCCCTATTCTACTAAACAGAGCATAAAAGAAAGAAGAAAAAAACTCTTCCGAGCCAATTTTAAAGTAAGAATTCTTAACTATTATTTATCCCTTACTAAGTATGAAATTTGCTGACTAAATTGCTAGACTAATTCTAAAGTATAATTAACTTCATTAAAGAAAATTTGCTTTGGAATAATAACTAAAATAAAGTTTACAATGCTATCCAGGACAATTACAATTGGTAATCAAATTACATGGAAAGAGGAGAGGGGAGAGAGAGAGAGAGAGAGAGAGAGAGAACGAAGCTCTTAAATATTGTCACAAGAAGGTTCCAAGCTTTTGTTTTGGTCTTGGCCATATGCTGCAATAAGTAATGCCTCTGCCCTTCCTGAAATATGACAAATGCAATAAAACCAAAGCACTTCCAAAAGGTGCATAGTAAACAAACAGGAACCAATCACCACGAACACTATCTTTTTCAACAAAATTTCAGAAATAGAGTACATTTAGAAGGAAACCTATAACTATGGCTCAATGATGTATGAAACTTGAGCCATGAGTAATCTGAATACGTAACAGAACCGTATATTGGCCTAAAATATATGAAATCAATTTCTGATTAATTTCCGGAGAATTAGGTAATATGGCATGTAGTGTGAAACTCACAAATTCAATAATGAATAAGAGAAATGCCAACATATTCTAATACTCCTTTCAACACTTTCCATTATTGGGTGACATATGTTGGGGACAAAATAACCAAGGCTGGTTCACTTTTTATTAGTAGGGTCAACATGAAATGCTAGCTTATTATAGAGTTCAGAAGAAAATGACCAAGAGTTTTCCTATCATTTCACTAATGAACATGACATTACTATATATATGGGCACAAGCACGAGAGATCATTCATTCATTAGATTAAGCTTTTGAATAATTGAGAATTTTGCAACATTGTAGTAGGCTAGTAGCAAAGAAATAAACTTGTAGTTAAAGCTACCAAGGATCAAAGGTCATTTGTTCATGGACAACGAATGACTACAAGTATTAATAGGTTCCACAGCAAACCACAACTTTTCTGGGTTCCCGATCACAAATTATCTATAAAAATAAAATAAAATAAAATAAATTGCAGCTGCCCTCACCCAAAGATAAACGAATTCAATCCAGAAGCTGCAATATGATCCCCAATAACATGACACTAGAAGGAACTTTTCAGTGATGTAACTACAAGGCTCTTTGATAAATTGTAGGATCTTTAAAAATCTTAATAGAAAAACTTTAAAATGATTAAAAGCACCTAATGATTTCTAGCATTTGGATTAGTTTCATTAGCATCCCCATTCTACATTTTGAAGGTAATTTATGAATTATGATCCACCAACATCAACATGGTACTTAATTAAATATAGTACAAAACAAGACAAGTACCATGATCTTTTTTCCTACTTAACATGGAAGTCAGTGACGGAAATAATGTCGATGCAAGTCTCCTGCTATCATCCTGCGGTATAAAAAATCCAAAAAGCTATTACTAACAAAGGAGACTCGACAATAGAGGAAATATCCATGTAGAACAAGCATCGTAGAAAATACAGTGAATGGATAAATTTCAACATGGTGTTGCTCAAATTTCCTTTACTTTAACAATGCTGAGATAGTATACGTTGAAACCGTCAGGATTTAGGTAGAGAGGAAGTGATATTAAGAGCTAATGAAACACTGAATTTATATTAATTGAGATGCATTACAATGTGTTGATGTATTGTTTGATATGTTCATAAAACCTAGAGCACTAACCCTTATTTTATATTAACCTAGACCCAGTCTAGTAGTAGAGGAGTTGGAGTAGTATGCACAGTATCCTGGGCTCGAACTCTGGTGCTAACATTGTATTTTCGATGGATTGAAAAACAAAAATCTTAGCTAACTTGGAAAACAATCATGATAAGAAAATATAGAAACTAATCTTGAAAGATAATAAGAAAATTGGGAAAATAATCTTAGAGAATAATATATGATATTCTATGATATCTTAGAAATTATATGATATTTTCATGTAATGTAACACTCCCTCAAATTAAATCTTGTGGTGTGAATCTCTTGAATGACCGCAGGGCCAAGGATGAGTCACTGGGAGTGGCATGGGAGCCAAAGTGCTTCAGATAGACCAGGACCAACGGTGTCTGGGACAATGGCAAGGCTAGACACCTTCCCCTCAAAACTAGAATCACATGTCTTAAAGGACAAAGAACCGAGTTTGGCAATTGTGACAAAGACTACAAAGGACCTCTGACGACATGCTGCCAGAAAAGATAGGGCATCCTTGAAAACCAAACAGCAGCATATGCCCGCAAACAAACCAAACCAGTAGCACAAAAGAGGTGACAAGGCAACACTAGTGAGAACAATAGTAAAAACTATCCACAAGATAAATCAAACAAAAAACTCAAAAATTGAAAGTGGTCGCAAACAGACAATGGGAGGCTGGCAACTCAAAGGGACTGGAGGCAGAGACCGCAACAGATGTTGAAGGCAGTGCGTGAAGCACAAGCACTGGCAAGGGCAACCGCAGACAAATAAGGAATGTAGGATTGTGATGACTCTGATGACCATGAAACTTGCAGGGATGGGCCATGGAGGACATAGTAAGTCAGATCAGATCATAACTCTGTATGAAAAGGCTGCGAACAGCAGAGGTAGTGACTAGAAGCAAATGAATGCCAAAAAAGGTGTTAAGATCTCGCATCGATTAAAGATATGGCTAATGTAGTCAAGGCTTGGATAGTGCTATTGCTCTCCTTACAAACCAATTTTCTAAGGTAGAGTTAGAACTTAAGCCCAAATTCTACAAAGCATAATATGCAAAATATTATTTACTTGCTTAAATATTTTTAGTTTCAGTTAACAATCTTCATTCTTTCTTTGGTAAAGAACTAACATCACAATTGGAAATAATAAACATACTTTGAAACTGAAAAGAATAATTGCTCATGATCATTGGTGAATCCACTCTAATATGTACTGCAAGGAACAACTGACCTTTGTAGTCATATTTCCAGAGAGTTCAAATTTTGCTTTCCAAGTAAAAGATGGCACTGGAATAACAGAAAATCCTGAGGCAACTAAGATGCCAATCCACAGCCCATATCCAAATCCTCCACTCCACCAGCCCTTGAATGCAAAAGATGGAGGGAAAAAATATTAGTTTGAGATAAATAAAATTAAAACACACTTTTCAAAGTATTAATACGACAAAATTAAAAATATGATCAAAAGATCAAAATTCAAAACTGAAAAATAGATCATTGAACAAAGCAAACTACATGCATTTCTTCAAAGAAAAATCACCTAACATAAAAAGTTTAAACATTAGACATTACTGCCGATTTCCGGATCACACTTTCAGTAATTATTAGCAAGCATATGGACTTCACTTAAACTTGACTAGCACCAATCTAGACAAACTTCAGAAGTCCCCACAAATATATTAACTAGGAAAATGCTGTTCTTTCTTCCCTGTTAAAATTAGGCTTCTATCAGAAAAATGATAGACTATTAAGTATTAGACTACTCATCTTAATAACTACATAGTACTAGCAGCTAATACTTGACAACAGTCAATACCCCAGCACTCCAACATATACTGAATGTACACACTGCCGTAATGACATAATCATCACATTCCAATTTGATTATAGTGAAGATTTAAGTAATTGAATAAATTTATTGCTACTCAAGGAAAATGTTTTGGTCGATCTCAGGAAGGAAAAGCAATTTATACTTGCAGACTCTTTAGGCAGAAATCCCATCCTAACAGTGAAGATTGAGAAGTTGACAAAGAATCATGTTAATTATGTCTGTCAGAAAATCACAAGCACCATATCAGAAATTAGGCATCCTCATTAAATGATTCAGGATCTTTATGACAGAAATTTAAGATGTTACAGATATTTACAGCAGACTTACAGGAAAGGAAATAAATTCCTAAGATTTTCTCTATACAATTGTAACGGAATTAAATAGTATAGATGCCTAGAAGACAGATTTGTCTCTACAATTTTAACATCTAATTAAATAATGATTATGACAGCCTGAAGGACATTAACAATGTCGAGACCAGGTGATCAACTGTTTCACCTCATTAGCATGAATGAGTAATTTAAGAAAGTAACGAGTTCTTAACAAACAGAAACATATTGAAGTCCCTAAAAGCTACAAAATATGTTTTACTTTAAGCAAGCATACCAACCTGCTTCCCATCTTGTGGATAAGGGAGCGACTGCTCTATGTACGCAGTGGTTCCTGATGAAATCAAGAATCAATTTGCAAATAGCCAACCATATAAACAGTGTCAACCTTCAAAAGAAATATGAAAAGGGGAAAATAATAATTCAAAATTTAATGTAGTTCACTGAAGAATTAGTACTTGGAGTCTATGAATTACATTGTGAAGGATAGAAAAAAAATAAGTAAGCATCATTATCTTAGAAATGCTAACTAACAAACTAGCGGATTGACAAATGTGAGAGACAATACAAATAAAGTATGAAATAATAACATCAATTATACTTTCTCTAATAGTATTTTCAGAAAATACAAATGACAAATGGCATTATCAATTTAACTATTCAAATGTGAATGATAAAATAGTGAATTTTTAAAGTAGATCTACTTGAAATCAGAGAAAAGCAGAGATGAAAATTGAATATTCTGTGATTATTATCGACTTGATGCAATTTGCAAACACTGAGATACATTTATAAATAGACACAAGGAACAAGAAAAAGATGAAAGCATTATCCTAAATCAGTTAAAATTAATCAGATTTTATATGATACAGCACAGCAGACTTTCCTAAGATACAGCAATCCTTCCTAAAATATAAACTATACATACATGATAACATATAAATAAAATCAGAAAATAATATACAACAATCTTCCACAATCTCAAGTCTCAACAATCTTAACAAAATTTATGACAGTCAAGTGGAGAGTAGTGAATACAACAAGAACAGTTTAGATCAATTACTATTGATCATACAGTGCTAAATACTGTTGATTTCCCTGATTGATTTAATATTTATCAACTTCATTATGTCCATCCAGTTTCCTTTAAATCTACATTTTGTATTAAAGAAATTGAACAATAAAATATTAAAAACACCCACACAAGTAGACAACGATTCTTGCAATAAATCAAATCTGCTACCTTGTCTCAGTCTATCATAGTCACAATATCAACAGATTACAACAAGATTCTTACAAGATCATAATATCAGTCTAAACTCTAAACATATCATAATAATCTTAAATAATAAGAAAATAGAAGAGAAAAAAAATGAAGCAGATAGCCAAAAAGAGGAATTTTAAAAAAATAATTTCAGCACATTTATGTAGTGATAAAAATAGAGAAAATGTAGTATACCGATTGGAGCATCAAAACTATGAACCAACTCAACAACAGACTTTGTGTCTAAGCGTCTTCGGGTCCTCTTGTTCTTGCCAACAAGTATTTTCACGTGAGGAGAGTCAAATACCTGCATATGTTGGAGTAATGAATAATGATATAATAATGTTTTTGCAATATGGAGACAATATTCTGAACAAAATCTAGTAGCTGTCTTAAAATAGGAATCAAGGGACCAAGAGGATATAATGCCAAACTAATTCACAAAAGTAGAAAGGACTATAATTTACAGTTGAGAACAATCCTCATCCAGATTCCATTGACTTTTTGGTATGAAGAAAACTAATTGTAATGCTGAACACACCATCAGTTATCAGTCAACGTTGTAATTTACCAATTACTCTCCATTATTCATATTTCACAAGATGCTTTATTTAAGGAATGGATAAACTACAATTTCCTTTCCGCTTCTTTATAATGATGGCTAAAGAACACTCATTTTGGCTCCTACTATGGTTGTGAAAATATGATTTACACAGAAAAAAAGGATACAAGCTTTTATCCACTGTTGAACTTACCACCTTAATGCAGAGCAAACTCTGATAATTTTAATACCAAACAGCAGTTTCACTATGATTGGAAATTTCAGTTCTTCAAATACCTATGTATCACTTTCATAATTCTCAGTTCTTCAAATACCTATTTACCACTACAATTGTGCATGATCAAAATTGTGAAAGCCTCAATACTTAAGCACAAAGCCCTAATCCGGTCCATACTTCATACCTAACTCAAGCATCCAGAACCCTTCTGCAAACAATTTAGTTAAAGTTGCCCCAATAAAATCTAGTGGATTATCCCCAATAGAACCTGTTTATTCCCTTCAGATGAATATCTTCTTCCTCAATGGAACTTACAATTAAATAAGTAAATAGCATAACAAGACACAAGTTACAAACACCACAAACATAAAAGCACGATCATCTACATGCAGATTCCATCTAAGTCTAATTCTCTACTAGTCAATGACTCAATATGCAACAATATCTACCAGCACAACAAGAGGTACTTAGCATATAGGTTTTAGATGACATTATTGATATCCATCAACACTGCATCACTGTCATAAATACAATGTCCATAGTAAACCAAATTTGAAGCAGAATCATCTACAAACACCACAAACATTAAAGAACAGTCATCTACAACTAGACTTATTCTATTTCTATCTAAATCCAATTCTCTACTAGTCAATATGCAACAACACATACCAGCACAATGAGTACACAGCATATAAGTTTTCGATGGCATTATCGACATACATTAACATTGCTTTTACTCCATAACATCCCATTCACTGTCCCAATGCCATGTATGTTGCATGGATACAGGTATGGGTACAAGATACAGGATCTTTCAAAAAATTTAGGGTACAAGTACATTAATATTAATTTTAAAAAAAATACATATTTAAATATAATTTTAAATAAACATGAAAAAATAGTATAAATGAAAAAAAAAAACACAAAATAAGCATAGTTTATATCAATTTCAATCTCATCATTTCCTTGTTCCTTAGTGAAAAATATCATCTTTAAAACTGGTTCACCAAGAGAAAGAATAGCAAGCTCTAGAATTTCGGTCCCTTCAAATAATTCTTATTAATCACCACCAATTTCTCACACTTTGCTCTCACTCATTATAAATCTTATGCTTTCTTGAGATGATACAAAGATTTGCATGTAAAAGATCTGAATCTTCAACTCTCTTAAGGTTGAGACCATGGTTGTCAAACTCGCGAGTCAACTCGTAAACTCGTACGAGTCTACGAGTCCAGGGTAGCAAAACGAGTTGACTCGCGAATAGACTCGTTTTTGGGTAGACTCGGGTAGACTCGGTCAGAATCGCGAGTCTGAGCCCGAGTCCACGAGTCTGGTTACGTTTTTTTTTTACCCCTAAATGGCCCAAAACGACGTCGTTTTTGCCTAGGGTTAGTTAGTGAGAAAACCATTTTCCCTGCGCGTGAGCTTCCTCCACCATTCTCACGTTTTTGAGTCTCCCTCCGCACCATTGGAACACCCATCTCCGCAGCAACAAACGCGCAGCTCCGCCTCAACGAACGCGCATCTCCGCCGCTGCGAACGCACGTCTCCGCCGCTACGAACGGTGCCGCAATCGAACGCCACCGCATACGAACGTGCGTCTTGGGAAGGACGCGAGTCTGTTTTCTCTCCCTCCGCCACATCTTCTGCCGCATACGAACGCCTCATTGCAGCTTCCAGTGTCATCGTGAGTGTTAGTTCTTAGTTCTGACTCTTAACATTTTTTTATTTGTTGGTTTGTTGGTGTTATTCACAATTTACATACTTAGTCTCTTACTCCTATAATTGCAAGATGTCTGAAACCGGTGGTGGCTCAAAGTCTTCAAGTACCCTTATCATCAAATGAAGAGGATGAGGTTGAAGAAAATGAAGATGATGATGATGCACATGAATTTGTTGGAGGATTGGACTTTGATTGATAAATTTAGATCTTGTTTTATGTTTTTGATTTGTGGACTTATGTGTTTTCGACTTTTGGTTGTTCATGTATGGTTAAGATTTGTATTATGACATTTTATTGTTGTTATTTGACTTATTTCAGACTTAGAATGTTAAAATAGTGATATTATATTGTGTATGTTTATGTTTTTTAATATCTTTTACTATTAGGTAGACTCTTACGAGTCTACGAGTCGAGTCTACGAGAGCTCCACGAGTTTGTGTAGACTCTCGAGTTTGACAACGTTGGTTGAGACTATTTCTTGTTATAGAATAGAAAAATGATTTTGAGCTCCAATTTATCTCAACAAAGGGAAAAAGATGATTGTGAAAGGAGTTTCAGCACAACGGATTGAAGTTTCATAATTGTAACACCATATATGATCCACCAGTCCTTTGATTATAAGTTTCATCTATGTTGTAAAATGTTTTTGGTATGTATTCCGTATGTACTCATGAGTACCCAATGAGTATCACATACCTAGTAGCCCATTTTGCCAGCTTTAATGTTCGACGTGACTTTATAAGCACCCATGCTTCATAGATGTCCATAGTTAACCAAATTTGACAGAACCATAATCCTTCTATACCAAAGCCCAACATTGTCCATAAAATTCAGTCACTTCATGCCCATTCAAGGCCACGCATTCAAAACCGTGCAAAACCCATCTCACCACATTCCAAACCACACACAACCCCAACAAACTTTCGGGCCAAAACCCTTAACTGGCAGTGTGGCACAAATGTAGCACTTCCTAATTTCATTTTTTTTCCACCTAAAGTTTCTCACTACTGGTAAAGTAACATACTAACAAGGTTTTAAAATTCAGTCAGCGACCACTTGAGCCGCAACATCAAGGATTTTGAGGTCGTCGTGACCACAATTGCAGCCCCATTGGCCGCACTTGTCCACAATTTACTACAATATCACGAATTAAAACCTTGAGTAACACTATCAAACCATGTAGAAAGGACAAAAAGGAAAGAAATTTAACCAAGGAAGACGAAAAGAAGCACGGTACCTGAGCTGAACAAACAGAACCGTGTGTTTTCAACAGCGCAACAGCGCCAGAGACATCTGGGTCAATTCCGAGGACCCATTTGGAGCCGTCATTTTGGTGGGTGGGGTCATGCTCTCCATTCAAAAGATGGACCTTTTCTGGAAAAGGGTAAGTGAGTGAAGCCAACCAATTCTCTTTGAATTGGGTATCACAAGCCTTGACCCTACGCTTTTTGCCAGGAACTATGATTTGAGGGTCACTAAGATCATGGGTTTGGGTGAGAGTGGGAGAAGGAGAAGAACCGCAGAAGGCCCTGAAGTGAATGGAGGAGGAGAAGGAAATTGTGGGCTTGAGTTTGGGAGAGAGTTTGTTCATGAAATGGAATTGGTTTTGGTGGGACTGTGGCGTGAATTGTAGGGATTCCATGAAAAAACACACATTCAGAAGGAATGAATGGGTCAAGAGTAGAAGGGAGGGAAGAAAAGGGTCCAAAACAAAATCAAATAATATACTTTTCTTTTGGTGACCAGAGAGGAGATCGGGTGGTGGGCACACTATAGAGCTGTCAAAACGGTCGGTCTGGCTCATGTGGGCCGGTTCACCTTAACCCACTTTAAAAACGAGTCAATTTAACTTGGTTCACTTTTAATTTTTTCAAAATAAATTTGACTCAGTCCGGCCTATCACAGGTTGGTGGGTTATACGGGTCAGTCCACCAGCCCACCAGTCCACCAAAAATTAAAAAAAAATATTAACAAAATTTAAAATTTAAAATTAATTATAAATTAACATAATAGTCATAAAATTAGCATCATTAATAGTCATAAGTCATAACTCATCATACAAAATTAAATACAAATCATGATAAAAGTTTAAAATAAAAATTTTCAATATTCCATTATACAAAATTAACTACAAATCATACTTAAATTTTTATTGCAAAAAAAAAATGGTGGATTGGTGGGCTACCCGGTCCACCACAGATTTAGCCCGGGTGGGTCGGGTCAAAGTGGGTTAGGTTGAGATATACTCACTTACTATAAATTTTCATTTTTTGCCCGGTCCGGCCCGTTTTCAAGGTGGGGCGGGTTGGTTCACGGATCCCGACCCACTTTGATAGCTCTAGCACATTATTTACTATTTTTTTATTTTTATTTTTTTACACTAGGGTAAGAACTATTTAATGAAAATCTAGAATCAACCACAAACCTTTTTATAATTTTCATGAGAATTATTGTCTATCTTATTTTCAGTTTAAGTCTACATAAAAGAATATAAAACATGATTCTAGTTAATAAAATCAAATGAGCTTAATTAATTGTATCATCCTAGGATAATATTATTGGTATGATATTATTTTTTTAAAGAAAATAAATAAAACAACAAAATTTGTACCTCCATCAAAAGAAGAGAAAAAATAATGATAGTTTTTTAGTATGAAATGGTAGATGCAAGATGATACTTTCATAATCATCAAGCAAAGTTTTTTTTTAATGATAATTTATGTGATTTTATGTTTTTTTATACCACATATATTATCATCAACCGAAAACAATTTAGTTTGAGGATAGACCCATACTTAAGGGAGGTGGGCAAATGCAATCCCTGACTTTAACAAAATTATGAATATATATGTAAAAATTCGATATTTTGCATCTCTAATATTATATAATGAACTAACACCGGTAAAAGTTGAATCTTTTATTAAAATATGATAAAATGGTTTTTTGGCATGGATGGAGCCAAAGTTCACGGGATATGAAAAGTTAACTTAACTACTAAACTACACAATTCTATGAGTATATATTGTACAAGTGTAATATATTTTTTAAAAAAATTATCTCCACTAACTCAGGATCTTAGATCTATCGTTTTATTTAGGACTTGAACTCAAAATCATTGCTTAAGTTGAAACAACCTCCCAATACTCAATATTTAAGGTTTAATTTAAGATCATGTACATACTACTCCAATCATCATCGCTATGTCAACCTTAATAAGTCTTTTGTGTGGTTATTTGAGTGTATATACAATTATAAAAAAATAAAAATAAAAATAAAAAAAAAGGTAAGAACAATGTGAATACAAATGAAGTTATCCTTTTTAGTAACCATATAAATAACATGTAATTGTATTAAAAATGATGTATTTTATCATATTAAACAAATAATATTATTGTTTTTCCATTATACAAAATTAACTACAAATCATACTTAAATTTTTATTGCAAAAAAAAAATGGTGGATTGGTGGGCTACCCGGTCCACCACAGATTTAGCCCGGGTGGGTCGGGTCAAAGTGGGTTAGGTTGAGATATACTCACTTACTATAAATTTTCATTTTTTGCCCGGTCCGGCCCGTTTTCAAGGTGGGGCGGGTTGGTTCACGGATCCCGACCCACTTTGATAGCTCTAGCACATTATTTACTATTTTTTTATTTTTATTTTTTTACACTAGGGTAAGAACTATTTAATGAAAATCTAGAATCAACCACAAACCTTTTTATAATTTTCATGAGAATTATTGTCTATCTTATTTTCAGTTTAAGTCTACATAAAAGAATATAAAACATGATTCTAGTTAATAAAATCAAATGAGCTTAATTAATTGTATCATCCTAGGATAATATTATTGGTATGATATTATTTTTTTAAAGAAAATAAATAAAACAACAAAATTTGTACCTCCATCAAAAGAAGAGAAAAAATAATGATAGTTTTTTAGTATGAAATGGTAGATGCAAGATGATACTTTCATAATCATCAAGCAAAGTTTTTTTTTAATGATAATTTATGTGATTTTATGTTTTTTTATACCACATATATTATCATCAACCGAAAACAATTTAGTTTGAGGATAGACCCATACTTAAGGGAGGTGGGCAAATGCAATCCCTGACTTTAACAAAATTATGAATATATATGTAAAAATTCGATATTTTGCATCTCTAATATTATATAATGAACTAACACCGGTAAAAGTTGAATCTTTTATTAAAATATGATAAAATGGTTTTTTGGCATGGATGGAGCCAAAGTTCACGGGATATGAAAAGTTAACTTAACTACTAAACTACACAATTCTATGAGTATATATTGTACAAGTGTAATATATTTTTTAAAAAAATTATCTCCACTAACTCAGGATCTTAGATCTATCGTTTTATTTAGGACTTGAACTCAAAATCATTGCTTAAGTTGAAACAACCTCCCAATACTCAATATTTAAGGTTTAATTTAAGATCATGTACATACTACTCCAATCATCATCGCTATGTCAACCTTAATAAGTCTTTTGTGTGGTTATTTGAGTGTATATACAATTATAAAAAAATAAAAATAAAAATAAAAAAAAAGGTAAGAACAATGTGAATACAAATGAAGTTATCCTTTTTAGTAACCATATAAATAACATGTAATTGTATTAAAAATGATGTATTTTATCATATTAAACAAATAATATTATTGTTTTAGGATAAAGGATATTTTACAACTATCAAATATTTCAATTAAATAAATAAAATAAGTTTTATAATCCTCTTTTACAATTCTAAAAAAATGAAAGTCAAAATACTTGTATACTTAAAGTTTAACGAAACCAATTGTCTTAGTAGATACAAAACACAATGTTTACGTGTGTTCTTATCTTATAAAAATACTTGTAGTTTTATCCAATGTTGTTAAAATCGAGATTTCACCTATTATTAGAAAAGAGATAGAAAATTGTAATTCATGATTATAACTTAGATTGTAAGATCCTACATTAATACCTAAAATATTAATATATAATACTATAGTTTAAAAAAAATTGCATAGATAAAGAAAATAACTTATAAATCACAATATTATACCACTTCATAATATAATTAGTCATAGGCTAAATTATACCTTTTATCATTGATCTTATTTTTAGGAACATAAACAATTTTTATATTGATTTATCCTATAACTAGGGCTACATCCAATCTTCACTACTCATCAGTGATGTTTTACTTAAAAAAATATTAAATACAATAATTGATGATATCATGACTAGGAGCCAAGTCCTAAAGGAACCAAGAGGAATGGGTTAGGCTTGAAGGAAGAAGGTCTAAACTCTTATTGAGCTTTGGGTTATCTTAGTAGCTTACTTTCTTTTCTTTGTATATTTTTCTTGTCAATATTTTCTTTATTTTAATCTTGTATTTTGGGTCAAGTAGTACAGGCTATTTGTCATTGTATTGATTTTATTTTGAAGTGTAATTAATAGTTTAAAGGGACGTGTAACAAGATAAAGTCATGGTGACCTTATTGGGCTTGGATGGGCCAAGATCCATTTTTATCATGAGCTTGGATATCCACTTGCTTTAGCAAGTGCTTTGGACATCTAAACCATGTAGTTAGGCCATCCAAGTGGTTAAATTTGTCACATGGCTTTTGATAGTGACATTTCAACAATTTGTAAAATAGTAATCATTAGTTAGTTAGTTGTAATGATTAGATTAGGTAGTTGGGGTTAACTTAAGGTAACCTAGGTTATTCTTAAAATAGGATTAGCTTAGCTTACTCCATAAGCTTCTAGACATTTAACTAGTGTTGGCTAGCTTAAGTACTAGATAGCTAACCTTGGTTACATTTAACCATGGTTAGTCTAGCTTGTACTATAAGTCAACCAAACTTTACATATAGTTTTGCTTTGTACATGGCTGATCACTTTTGGATGTAAATGAGAATAAATCTGAGTTTCTCTTCTAAAAGTCTTAGTTCTCTTTCTAGGAGAAATCGTTCCTTAAGATCTTTTATCAAGGAATTCCTCCTCGTGGCAAGATCAACACTTCTTGCTTATCTTTCTCCATAGAAAGTGGTGCACCATATTTCATCCTTTTCCACCATTTTTGCTTTGTTCTATAGTTTGTTCATCCATGGAAGAAGATTGGGCACAACTAGAAGACTAGTGGAAGGAATCATCAACCATCTCTCCAATGGTTTTCATCATAGGAGAGATAAGAAATGGGTGCACCACTTTCCTTGGGAGAAGATTGGGCACAACGACTACTGGAGGGAATCATCACATAACCTTGCATAAAGGAGTTCACAAATCACCTACAGAAGTATCACTTATTCTTGTAGATCTTTAGACAAAACAATTCCACTAGTTTTGCCCTTGAGAGATATACATTAGGGAAGGTATTAAACACCCTACAACACTCTAATACAATACCCTATGATGAAATTAGCATAATAAAAGATAATATTTAGATATTTATTTCCCTTTTATTGAATATTTACATGACATATTTATTATAATTATTTACAAAAATAGGGGTTTTTACCCCGAAGCGTTTGAAAATAAATTATTTACATGATCGTTGCTTGTTTAGGACACATTCATATATATAAATAATTTAATGAAGGAGATGAGATTACTAGAAGTACCTCTAAGGCAAATTTTATTGAATATTCCTTCCAAGGTAAGGTCAAGGTACGTCTTAACACCTTTTTTCACTCACAAGAAACCTCACTTACTCAAGAAACACAAAAAGAAAAACATGTATGAACT